CTTCTAGTCTGTCAAAAAGTAACTAACTTCGTAAAAACATAATTACTAAAATCACTAGACAGTTCGGACTGGGATTAGCGAACCGGGTATAGGTCTTATCAATTTCCAGTTTTCAAGCAACTTTTGATTTACTGTTTGCAGTGTTGTCGACTAATTGATTAAGTATAATTTTTTTATTTCGCACTTCATTAAATATTATTTTTATTTCGTATTTCATCATATATATTGTAGCTTGTTTTTTGGTATAAACTATTTAAACTAACTTAATCTAATCAAGTTATGCTAGCTTGATTAGATTGGGTTAGTTTAAGTGTTATCAAAGAATATAGAGGCATATTGGTGTTATTTTTTTTTACTAATCATTAACGAGAATAAAGTATGTCGAACTTTGGCAACAGTGTGACAATTGCAATAACATCTTTTTAGGTGTTGTTGCCAAATCAATTTTAAATATGAAAAAATTTATTAAAATAGTATTAGATATTGTCGTTTAAATATTTTTAGAAATAATATTTATAAAAATATTTAAACTTGACAACATTCTAATCCACCCCCTGGACTATTCCAAAAATTTTAGGTGGGTCTTTATACATGATTTGTTCTTAGTAACGTTGAGTTGTATTTGTTTATAACAAACAAAATGGCTAGTTGCACCTCATGTGAAATTTCTTACAATGATAGCGTTTGAATGGACTGTAAAAATGAAATAATGAACTTTTTTTATTCACATGGGGTGTTAAAAAATACTAGACTATGTCCAAGTTGCGGCAGTGTTTTGAAAGTAGATAGTGAAGTAAGATTTAGGTGTTACAAGCGTATCAGCAAACATAAAAAAAGGTAAGTAGTAACATAAAGACTATTATCTACTATTATTTTAAATTTTTATATATTCTTATTTCAAATTCTTATATATTCTCATTTCAAATTCTTATATATTCTTATTTCAAATTCATATATATTGTTATTTCAAATTTTTACAATTTGTTATTTCAAATATGTTATACATTTTTACTCCATACAAAGCAATTATAAACGTGGCAACATTGCGAATATATGTCAAATTATAATTATTATGCAAATGCGCAGAGTTCTTTTCATAATTTTAATAAATTACGACTTTTTGTAAAAAATTTTTACTTTTTTAATGGTTTAGGCCATAATATTAATATTATATATATCATATGATTTTGTAAGTATGTAGTTTTATATTTTTACACCATTTTTACAGTAATTTCCTATTTTTTACAATTTTTTTCCATTATTTTAAGGTTTTTTAGCAATTTCTTTAGTTTTATTCCCTAAAATTACAAAAAAATAACCTTTTTTTCATTTTTTAGGCTAAGTCCCAAAAAATTGCAAAAATAGCGTTTCCCCTGTTTCCTTGAAGTTTACCCTTTAAATATACATATTTTTGAACAAACAGTTGTTATAACGACTAAACCTTACCTTCATGTTCAATTTATTAAGGTAAGAATTCATGTATTAGCTAATAACGAATAATATATTTTTTTAACCTCTAAATTGACATTAATCATTTAAATATAGCTAAAACTACGTCAACGGACAATATGAAATATTTTTAATGGTTTTTATTTTTAGAGTATGCCAGGCAAGCCTTTGACTTCACAAGCTCAGCAACTTGTGTTGAATGTGTTTATGGAGTATTTCAAATTAGAAAAAGTAAATGGGGGGCCTTTGGAGCCATTTTCATCTGTTCAACAGGTAACATATTGAAATGTATGTTCGTTTATGAAAATCATTAAACACTTCTTTATTTAAGAGAGTAGCTGCTGCATTAAAAATATCACGAAGAACAGTATGTACAATTATTAAAAGGAAAGAAAATAATCACATTCTTTCAAAGCCAGGCAAAAGTAGACCTCGTCTGAAAAACAAAACAACTGATCTATCTGAGGGATCAAAAATGGCAGTGCGTAATACAGTATACGACATGTACCAACAAAGTAAGTAGTTACCAATTTCTTCAATCTGAATTTGATATACCATAAGATAATGGTATCATGTACCATGATAACCAGAAGGTACTTTGTAATCAATACTTTATATAAGTGTATGTTGTAAAAAAGATTGTTGAGAGTAGTTTAAGAAAATTTCTGCTGAATACATTAATGGATATTAAGTAGCTGATTATGTAGAAGAGCCATCATTAATTGTAATGGATAATGCTCTATACCACAGTGTGCTTTTAGAAAAGCAACCTTCCACTAGTTCAACTAGAATGGAAATTATTACCTGGTTGACAACTCACAAGATCAAGTATGAGGCAAAAATCACAAAACCTGAATTATTACAAATTGCGAAAATGAAGAAAAAAGAGAATGTGTATATAATTGATGAACTACTAAGAGAACACGGCCATGAAGTGTTGAGACTACCTCCTTATCACTGTGAATTCAACGCTATTGAATTAATTTGGGCAAACTGCAAGTCATATTACAATAAGCATATTGGTAGAGATGGACATTCTGATAGTGCTGTTATAAATATGTGGAAAGAGGCACTAAACCAATGTAACACAGGAATTTGGGAAAAATGTGTGGAACATACTCATGAAATTATTACAAAATGGTATATCTGAGAAAAAAATATGGTTGACACTAACATTCAATTAATCATAATAGACACTGGTAATATGAGTGACTCAGATTCTGACAGTGAAGAATTCTTAAATTTATGATTGGCTACGTGGCTGTTTAGTGTATGAGGCTTCAATAAATATTTAAATTATATTATTGTTATAATAAATTCCGAGTCACCACGGAGGCCTCGGGCAAACTCGCCTACGAAACACCGGTGACAAGCAGAAGGGAATGAAGAGCTAGAAGAGGACGAAGCCGCCGAGGAACGAGCACATCACCGAGGATGGACCTGCAGATGCTGTCCACAACACAGACCACCGCCTGTGAGTGTTTTGTGCAGTGTATCAGCTTTTTTTATCAGCCTCAGAGTCTCAAAAGCGGGGGGGATGTCATCAGGTGCCACTAATCACGAACCTCGATGTGCATCGTCCTTCCTTCTGAAACTTTTAATTAAATTCTATTGGATGAGAAATGAAAAAGTTTCATATAAAAGTTAAAATATCTTTAAATATGGGACATTTTCAGATCTTCAGTCAGTACAGGTTTTACCCTTAGCGGGTAGCCGTAGAGCTCCTCACTAGAAGGACTCTGCAGTTTTTCTAAGACTCTGAAGCTCGAGTTTTTTTCTTACTCAGAGTACTGTGTTTTTTTATCCACAAGTAAATAAACCTTCAGGCATTATCTTTTTTAAGACAATGCCCAAAAAAGAGCGTTTCGGACTAACATCGCAATATTGTACAATATTGCGCAATGTTAGATCATAGCATATTAGTATCTATAGGAAATGCACCAAGGTGCAATCGTCGTATCATTTATTCCTATGCCAACTAATTCCGAAGACGACACTTGGTCCATATGCAAATTTCTTGAATTTTTATCTGTGACGATGTTTCTCTGTTGATCTCGCAGTTTGTTAGCTGTATTTAATTTCTAAAGATCAGCTGCTTGTTTATGCATTTTAAACGTATCGTGTTTTTCTTCCAATAAATATATTTCTTCACACTGTGATTTTAACCAATTTTCTTTGGCCTTTCGTATTTGTGTTCTTATTTGTCTGTGAATATTGTTGTACATTCTTTTCTTGTTCTTTGATTTTTTCTTTTTTCCATGAGTTGCAGTATCTTGTCATTCACCTAACTGTTCTTTTTCTCTTTAATTCTATTAGATATTCTTCTTTAAAAACGTCTCTTTTGTTTACTTACATTTTAGTCTTCTCATATCGCATTTTTGTTACTATTATTTTTTGTAACCTTCTTAAATCTAAACCGATATTTACCAACAACAGGAACATCATCTGACGATATGTCAGCACCATATATTGGCTTATATTCAATAAAAATACTTTAATTTCTGATAACTATGGTTTAAATATTTATTTACTGTAGATGTTATTGGACAACCTATAGGTTTCCAAAAATTGTAAAATCACGTTCATAAATGTATACGTACCCAGTTTTCCAAATGCAATAAATGAAATAAAAAAAAAGTATAAAAACGTCAATTGTAATATTAACCAATTTCTAATTTTTATAATAATTCTTATAGCCGACACGTTTGACTCACATGTTTTGATTTATTTCCTATAATAAGAATAATGACGATGTGCAAAGATCCGGCGGATCGACTGTATGTCTGTTTACTCTTAATATTGGCTATGAGCATGTGTTCTTGGTTGTAAATATAGTAATTGTCATCCACTTCTAGTCTGTTAAAATGTAACTAACTTTCGCAATAAAATAATTACTAAAATACTAGATAGTTGTGTCTGAGATTAGCGAACCGACTATACATACACTACATACATTCAGTATCATTGTATATCCAGGATGGACGCCGCTACACAATAACGGATTAAATATTTTTTCACAACTACTTCAATATGGGTATCAAATGAAACGGCTTGACTAGTAGAAAAGAGTTCATTATATAAAATCCAAAATGGCCGCCAACAAAATGGTGGATTACATATTTTCTTTGGGCGTACTGTTGTACGCCCATGATTTTTTTTTATTTTTATTGACTTCCGAAATGCATTTGATCGTATTAAGTACTCTATATTGATCGAAGTTCTAAGAAACACTGGTTTGGATGACAGAGACATTCGCATAATTGCAAGTTTGTATTGAAATCAAACATAAGTTTTAGTAGACGGTTTGGAATCACAAACTATGATTAATAATCAACATTTCTAGATTTTTTTGAAAGATTAAAGAACATTGCGTTAAAGAGTTATGTGAAAATTAAATTAAACAGCATAGATAAAATGTTAGTGTACAATTACATTAATGAGTACAATTACAAATACATATATTTGGAAAATGATTAGCTGCCTGTTTTAACAAAAAAGGTTTACAAATACATAATAGCAATAAAATGTTGTACATAAATACTCATACTTACTTCTCAGAGTGCTCTAGAGCTAACTGAACAGTTCTTTCTCCAGCTTCATCAAATTCAAGACCGTGTATGTTAACAAATACTTCTCTTACTGCTTGAACTTTCTTCGTCTCCGTTAAAAATAATTCTAAGACTCCTGGTTTTGTTAACTCTTGTTGAAGTTTCTTTTGACCGATTAGATGATATTTTACATCCGGGCATTTTATGGCCATCGATCTGCAACAGTCTTCATATAATCATATGCTACAACTACCAATATCAGTACTAAATTAATGATCACGATACAGTTCACATTTGAAAGTCTTTAAAATGTGATCATAAACAATAAAGTAAAAGTAAGAAAGAAAAATAAGATTGCGACAGTACAGATTTTCTAGACGAAAAGTTAGGTTAGGTTACGTTAAATAAAAGTGGGCGCTTAACCGTAACCACCCTTCCACTTGACCGAAAAGATCTATTATTGCTCCCTAGATTAAAATTATCCTTTCACCCGAACTCTTTTAACAAAGTCTATTATGCTACGAAGTAGTAGGGCTCGAGTTGATAATGTTCAAATGTATTTCAATGCTCAAATTTCAGTCAGACAGAAAATGCAATTCGCACTTTCTGTCAGTTCGATTTTATTCATGTGCCCCTTGAAGCGACAATGTACTACATTGTCAACAATCATACATTCCTATTCATAATAAGTAAATCTTCGGATCTCGTTTTCGAAGTTTCATCTATAAAAGCCTTCGAATGTTTGAGACCTGTTTGTTCGTACCAGTCCGGTATTGTTCTTTTGGCTGTGGTTCTTGCTATGCCAACAAAGAGGTTCTGGGCCTATAAATGTTCCTTTTGTCCATTCCCTGGCAAGTAGGTCCGCTTTTTCGTTTCCTTCAATACGAATATGTCGATTCACTCAGGTCAAACTTGCTTTGTTATTTTTTCCGATCAGAATCAGATACTGAGGACAATTCCAAACTAACTTAATCAATCTGATTTGGGTCCAGTGCCTTTATTGCCGCCTGGCTATCAGATATAATTTTTATAGACCTGTCCCTGCAATGTCTCTTTATCAATTCCTACAGGAACATCTCTATATGATAAATTTCCGCTTGGAAGATAGTGAAGTGATTACCTAGGCTTTCACTAAGGCTTAGCCTTGGTTTCCCTCCGTATACTCCAGCTCCAGCTCTTCCATCGGTTTTAGAGTCCTCTGTATATCAGCATTGATCTGCCATTATGAGATTCGTTTTATTTGATTTTCTCCTTCCTGGAAAGAGGACGGTAAACGGCTTTTCGAAATTATATTTAGATTGCATTGCAACTGGTATCATTGTCAACTTTGCGTGATTTTTAATTATCTATCCAGTTTTGATTCCTGTATACTTTCTCCCTGCTTCCTGGCGCCTTCTGTATGCTCCTACTTTCGTCTCCTTCTCTATCCATATATGTAATGGAGGAAGTTCAAGTATGACTTCCATGGGGGTGTTTGGAGTAGTCGATACCGCTCATGTTATGACTAAGTATACTTGTCGTTGAAGCTTATTCAGTTCTTTCTGTTGGCATCTAGCTCACCATACTTGTACACCATGCGTAATCATAGGTAATATATAGCCAGAATATGAGTTTGGGTTTCATACCTCATGTTTTCACACATATCCTTCGACGTATGGGAAAAGGAAAGCTTTGCTTTGTTGGTTATTATTTCCAGATAGGCGTTTCACGTAAGCCGCTTATGTCCTTGTCTCCGCAAATCATCTCATGCCCTCTTAAAAATGTTAGGGATATTTGATAGGTTTACTAATTTTTCGTAAAAAGTTATAATAACCCAAAGCATTATTAAATTATAGAAATATTTTAATTCTATAACATTACTTACCGTTCGATCATCAGTCTGGCATCCCACTCACTTTCTGTTGGGTAATGGTTAGGAGCGTAACCTTCTCTAAAGTATACTACAGCTATAACAGTATTATCTCTACAAAAATAAAAAAAATTGTAGATTTAAGGAAATTCGTTGAGGTTTATTGTTATCTACAAAAGATTTTTTATAATTTGCAAATTCAATGAAATTGTAGCCTAGTCACATTTGAAACTCTAATATTTGACGCATATCGTAAAGAGTCTCACAATTATAGTGCCAGTGTGTATCGCTATCTTCCTAAATTGGAGTCATAGTCAATTATTGTTCTTATTTCGATTTCTAGCTTTATAAAAGTAGACAATCTAGAAAAGAGCAAAAAAGAACACAATTTTCGGCCTATTCCACGTAATCATCAACCTCTGGGTCAATATAAAAATGTCACTAATCTTGAGATCCACGTAACAATCAATCTCTGGGTCAATAAAAATAGTCACTAAGCTTAAGATTCCACCTTGTATTATTTTAAAAAGGCTATATCCACTTTCTCTTCCCCCTTTTGAAGATCCATGTAGAAGAGACACGTGGTTTATATTGCTCCATACAAAAAGAACGACTAGAGCGACAAAGCCTCCAACTAATATTCGACACTATAATCCATAGCTCAATCGAATAACTTAATCCTCAAAATAAGCCATGAATATATTTCCTAAAAAAAACCAAATTATAATTATCAAACAATATCGTCGATCCAATAATGTGTGGTCAATCTGCTCGCTTCAAGCAACACCACAGGACATATTCCTTCGATAATTGACAACAGCGACCTTGACCCGTCAAAATAAATTCTGTTGTTAGTGAAATTTAATAACAGGCCTTATTGCTAGGCACATCATGATACATTGTAGACATTTTTATTGTAACAACAACCAACAGCCAGAAACAAGTATTACCTCGCCTAAGAAAAAGAAGATTGCTTTCATAGCAATTCAGCATTTTGTAACTGTTGATGAAACCTGTGATCACCATTATAAACCCAAAACTAAATAACAGTTCAAATATTGAACACATTATCCACTCACCAGGAAGGCAAAAACTGTTGTTAGTAGGAAAGGTTATAGAAAGGAATAGAAGGTCCTGTTTTCTAGGATTCTCATGGAATTATCTTGATCAATTAGTTAAACGTAGTCAGAAATGAAGGAAATAATAAATATGCCACCTTTTTGCAAAAGGACCATAAATTAGAATGGATCAGACAAAAAACTAAGGTAACTGATGTAATTCACAAAATTAAATCTTTAAAAAGGCAGTGGGCGGTAAATTTAGTGAGAACTGACAATAGAAAGTACACTAGAATTACGCTGTGGTACCCAATAATAAAGATATATATTAAGGTGCCTTTAAATCAATGCTAACACAAACGAACGAACGAATTCGTTCGTTAAAATTATTGTATTTAAACAGCGAATCAAACACGACAGAATGAAGTCGTTCGCGTTCGAACATTTTCCAACCGACTTCGGTAAATCAGCCAATCATAAAAAATCAGCGAATTTGTTAAGAAGTACTGTTTATAATACTAATTTATTTACAAATTAGTTTGATAGGGCTATTTGTTGTGTAGTGCTAAGAACTTGCATGCGTAAATAATTTAGCTACATGGAATTGACGAATGAAAACACGCTTCAGTTAACCGAATTATGTAGAAACAAAGAATATCTATGGAATCCGAAGTCGAAATTATATAAAAAATAATAAACAAAAAAACTGTTGACTGGAACAAAACTTCTACTGATATGAATTGTGATGTCTCTGAAGAAAAAAGAAGAAAAAGAAAAAGATTACTTCGCTCTTGCATTATTTAGATAAGAAAGACCAAAAGTGAGAAAGACACAATTTATAAATTTTACGTGGTTTGCTTTTAAATTTCATTTTAAAATCATCCATAGACATTCTACAGAAATTTGTAACTTGACCTAAATTGTCAGTCGTTAAATCAATTAACAAGGCATCATCTCCTCTTTTTTTGTAACAAATTTGAACACCATACTCTCTTTTTCCTTTTTTTTTTCGGAAAGTTCTATAACAACTATAAATCTAGCAGCGCTAATTATTACATCTTTATCTGTATTGCGAACGGATCATCAATAAATGCGAACGTTCGGTACAATGTAAATGATCCTACACTGTAGAGAAAAAATGACCAAGCGAACACTTACGAATTCGTTTCTTAGTTACATAGTTTTTAATGTAGCTTGATATATCTCTGTAAGAGAATGTTTGAACACACCAATTTGACATTGTTTGAACAAATGTTATTTATTTTCTTTGTTACTCTATGAAAGAGAACAAGAGTTCGACACTGAAGCTATGGCCGAAATAGTTCCTACAAATGTTCCACAATTGAATCAACAATAACGGATTGCGTACGATACTTTGATAGAAGCTGTGAACATTGGATCTGGTGGAATTTATTTCCTTGTTGTTCCGGGAGGGAAAAAAACCGCAAAATCAGGTAGCCCTACGTTGGCTTCATTTCGAATGGCTGTTACTTTATTAGAAAGGAGACGAACTGCACATAGTGGTTTGAAATTACCATTAAACATTTAACTCAATGAAACACCAGCTTGTAATATCGTCAAAAATAGCGCAATGGCAAATACTTTACAGGTATGCAAATTAATCGTTTGGAACGAATTTACGATGACAATGGAGGGAAAAACTTTGAAGATATTCGTGATAACAATACACAATTTATCCAATTTGTGGCAGCACTAAAGACGCTCCAATTCACAACTAATATGCGAATGTTTTTGCAATAAGATCAAAGTTAGTTCAATTATGTTTTCGAAGCAGTTGCTCTACATTGGAAATAGTAAAGTCGCTATTGACACCTCGACCGGATCAATCACATAACCTACAGATTTCTGTTACTTCACAGACTCGAAAAAGAAGCTTATTTAGCGTGTTTTCCGGACATACGCAATAGTTCAATAACCATAATTAACTGAGTAAAAGAGCAATATTGGCGGCAAAAATACAAATGTCGATGATTTTCGTTGGCGAAAGATTTGGTCGATGGCGACCATTCAGAATTTTCCAGAAAAGATCTTTTCGTTCAAATCTACAGAGTTTTTGAATTTATTATAATTATCTGGACTCCCACCTCACAATTTAAAGTAGAATTCGTTGTCATTATGCTGCGTAACGATAATTAACCTCGACTGTTAGCCCAGGGAAATAAGCATTTTTTCATGACACTCGTCCGGCCAGGCAGACGACAGTTGTTTTGAGTAGTATGGCCCTCTGTAACAAAAACCTATATGTTTTTGTTACAAAAACCTGCAGTCGATTTTTTGGACTTAATTAGTTATTAACAAATTAAGGCCAAAAAACGGAAAATTTTTGCTTTTTTCGTCTATCAGCAAAAAGTGAAGCAATTTAAACAAATTTTAGAAGAGAGGAAACTTATAAGTTATATAAAAACCTTCAAAATGGCGTCTTCAAAATGTTTCTATCCTTATTTGTTGCTTAGAAAGTTGCAAAATAAGTCAAAAATTTCGGTTTTTTATAAATGTTAATAACTTTTTTGAAAATAAACTTATAATATTTATATTTCACGGAATGATGTGTCTTGTAGTGCTTAAAATAGGGTTAAAATTTCAAAATGATCGGTCCAATAGTTTAAAAGTTATTTTATTTGTTTATCCCAAATTAACATTTTTTGCAACAATATAAGTCAGAAATTTATACAGTTTTAGAAATTGTAAGGGTTGTTTCTGGTAGAAGAAGACTTGTTTTATTATATACATTAAAAAAAATTAAGAAAATTAATTTTAAATATTGCAAAATATTTTGCAAAAACATGTCGATTTTTTGCTTATAAACAATTAGAATAACTTTTTAACCATTGACTGTAAAAATATTATTTTTACATATTTATTAAGCTTGAATTTTTTCACAAATTTAAATAAAAAAAAGTTTGTCCTAAAATAATTTGGTACAAAGTTAGCATCTTTTTTTATTTAATTCATAGCACCTTTGTTTATAACAATTAAGAAATCTAATTAGCGCTATTTGAAAGAATATACATTATAGTTTTAAAATACTAAATTTTAAAATTATTGCCCTTTAATGAAATCCTCCACAAAGTTTCAAAATGTATGTAAAATCCGTCGGCTTTGAAACTCTCGAGAGCTGAAGGGAGGGGGAAGGCGCTGTTAACTGTATCTCTGTTCCATTTTTATGTATTTCAAGGCTTTTTTTTAACTTGTATGTACTTTTTGCGTACATTACGAATATGCATTATTTCAATAAATAAATTGTCAAATAAACCACATAATTTGTTTAAAAACGATTTTTTTAGTAGTATTTAAGTTAAGTTTGAATGTAAAACAGAAGTACTTATCATTTCCTATATTTTGGGGAATAAGCCACAATTTAAGTTTATAATAAGTTTATTTTTGATGTTTCGATTTCTACTTCGGAAATCTTTCTCAGAATACAGAACATTAATAAATTATTCAAATTTTGTTTTTGGTTACTTGGTAAAAAATTTGGTTGGAAAATTTTTCTGATAACTCTTCTGGGTGATTGATTAGGGTGAGGAAGCTCAGTAGATCTGTTTTAGTAAAAATTACAAAAAAAAGTTATTGACAAAACTTGTAGACAGCTTTAAACTCGACATTTTAAAATTAGTTACAATCTTACAGGGTGTTCTATAAGATGGTGGCAGACCAAACTTATGTTTTTTTAAATGAAACACCCTGTATTTTATTTGAATTTGAAATCTGCTTCACTTCCACATCATAACAATGTAAAGTTTTTTTATGTTATACGGGTATTTAAAAAGTTATAACCAATATTACCTGAAAATCGTATCAAGTATAACTCCCTGTATAATTAAAAAGGAGTATAGGTCCATTGATCTATTGCAACCATAGTTTTTTAATAATTGTTAAAAATTATAAAACATATACGTTTTCATAATATTCGTTAAATCAAATATATGGTAAGTCAAAATGCAAGTATATTTATTTCTTGGTAATTTTAAATAGAACTCCCTGTATTTTATATCACTATCGAAAAGTACTAATATCGTACTTCAAATTTTATAG